TTGTAGGAAACACACAAACCCAAGGCTTTCGTTCTAACTGAGATAGTGAAATGAACAGCCTTGAGGCTGTGGAATTAAGTTAACCAAATCTGCCTAGACAGGTCACACATTTTCAGGAAATGAAAAACAGGTCAGGCGTGCAGGGAAGCACAGATCCATGTTCACGGCCAGACATCGAACCTGGTGAGAGCAGCAGAGGGGGAAAACTGCCTCGTGCCTTTGTTTCAAGATCACCCCCTCTAGGATCAACGAGTGACAGGCCAGAGCTTGTGACCCTCTTGGGGCTGAGGAAGGGCTGCCCCACAGCTCAGCCACCCGTTGGTTGTGCACAGGCAGCTCTGCCAGAGGCTGTTCTGCTGCTGTGACCACTCTGGATGGGATTCAGGGACTTTGGGCTCCTTCCGCTGTATTGATTTTAACAGTGACAGCCTAGAGAGGAGCAGAACAGACTGTGTCTTCATAGATGGAATTGAATTGTTTCAAAGGTTTTAAACAAGTTGGCTGTCTTCCTGGACTCTTAAATTAAAGGACAATTAAGTCACTTTCAGTCTGGAAAGAGCTGATGGGTGTTTCCTGGTTTGACTCTTTAAAATTTTGCCAGAGTGATTAATGCAGTGAAAAATTGTCATCGCTCAAGTCAGGGCTGTCAGCCAACACTCAAAGCACTTACCTAAAGCACACGCTCAAGCTCTTTTGGCCTGTGGACAGGAGGAAACAGGACAAAATGAGGGTGTAGGAAAGAGTAGCTGGGCATAAAGGACACTGGCACAGCAACACCTGTACTTTAGTACCAATAATTGTTACGGGAGGAGAAGAAAAACTGCTGATGCCATGGGCTTCATGGAAAGTTGACTTTTTCCCCCATGGGGGAGAAAAACCTGGCTAAACATCAGCCCCAGCTCATGGCTACTGGTTTTGTTAGTCACATGCAGTTAGTATTTGTGCAGCAGGTGCCCTGCTCCCAGCCTGGAGGCAGTACCTGGGAACAATCCCCTGGTACAGCTGCAGTGCTGCTGCGGCACGGGGGGTACAACCCTCTCTTCGTGCTGGGGCTCCCCAATGTCCTTGTAATGCTGCTGAGAGCATGCAAGAGCTCCAGGCTTTCCCAGTTGCTAGGAATGCCCACAGTCTCCCTCCCTTTGTTGTCCACGCTCCTTCCTAGCATTTAAAAGCTCAGATCTATTTTGTTTCTTCCGGGGTGGCTAACCGAAGCTGACTCCTGAATGAATGCTGTCTCTGCTTCAGTTAGTCATCCCTTCAGGACAGATTTAGTAACCGCCGAGGGAAACCACGTAGAAGCCAACAGTTCACCGTTGGAAGGCAGCACCCACTCACTGTCAACCTCATCTTCTTCTGAGCTAGAAAGCTGAAAGTGCAGCAAGTCAGCCAGAAGGAGGGGAGCGAGCCTCCAGCCTCACCTGTTGCGTAGGAAGGCGGATAAATCGATACGTACCTAAGTCCCACACCTGACCGCGGGCTCCGGAAAGTCGCTGCAGCGTGAAACACCAAAGCGGAGAGAGCGAGTACCCACAGCAGGGCTCACCATCCCCACCTGCCGGGGCACCCCTGGGGGCAAACACACCTCCGGGGTGACAGCGGCCCCAGGCTGCCCACGCTCCGGGCTGCGGGGAAACCGGCCGCACCTCCACCGCGCGTCCTTCCGAACCACCGCGGAGCCGGCAGCCCGCGGAGCTGCCCCTGAACCGAGGCACAGCTCTCCTCGGGGCGCAGAATCGGTCACGTTTTGAGGCTAAAGAACTGCCTGTTCAAAGCTGTCGGACATGTTTACTGCTCATGGGCCTTACCGCTCCTCCACATTTCTGCATAACGTTGGTTGACCAGAGGCACGTCACGTTAAAACTTGTCCTGATAAGCAATAACACACCAGAGTATTTTAATGCATAAATAGGAGTCACGACACTGATGGTTTCAGGTAAGGACAGTTTATTTGCCCCTTTGAACAAATAAGGCAAGATATTTGAGACAGATCAAACAAAATCTCCTGTATCAAACTCAGAGGAATGCAATAAAAGTTACTATTTCATACATATACAAATTAATGACCCGACACTATTATATACAAACAGCCAGATCTTAGAAAATAGCATTTCAAGGCAGCGCTTTATGCCTGTGTTGCTAAATTCTTTGTTACGAAAAAGTTAAAGCTACAAACTTCACATTTTTAAGTCTCACGTGACTGACATCATCAGTATCTCCAGGTTTTAGAAGCAATGATAACAGTTTGTCCAGAACACTTTCAGCAATGCAGACGGACCCAAGGAGCACACGAATGCAGCTTCACAATTAAGCAAGCTTTTTGCTTAAAAACTTTGTCAGAACAGCTTTCCCTTGTGGTACGAGCCTTGGCCTTAGCCTGGAGGACCCTGAGAAGTGAGCAGGTACTATGCTCCCAGACACTCTACAAAGGGATCAAAAAGGGTATTATTTTCTCTAACAGATTGAAAATCAGTGAAGGAGAAAATAATTCCTCTGCATTAATGCTCCAAGCGCAAGAAACCTCATCAAGTCTCAGCCACTGCAAGCATTTAAGAAAGGTTCAAAGACAGCTAAGCCATTGGACCAGTTTTACTTATTTTGGTTCATTTGCTGTATTTTAAGACAATCACATCAGCGAAGCAGAGTATTTCAAGAGTGCTTACATTCAGTTACAGCAGTCACAGGTTGCATATTCTGTAAATAGACACCACCCTGTGGTGTTCTACCTAAAACTTGGGTTTTCTAATGCCCTCCCATCACTAGAAAGTTACCTACACAGTGCAGAGGTAAAACTACTCCCAGTAGAATCTGCTTGATCCATTCCACATGCAGTGCACAGTTCACCATGCCCCATATCCCTATGTCTACCACACCAGAGGTGCTGGGCCAGATCCATCCAAGTGTCTAATACAAGATCCAACACTTGACCAGAGAACTCCCTCCTAAGCTGTGGGGGTTTCTTTGATGCAAAGGACGGTCACAAATATCGCTCATAACACACCCGTGTTTAGGGCAAAACGTATTGCACAGGTTTCAGACGAGCACTGCATGGGCCCTGACGCTCACACAGCACTTCGCTAGACCTCATCAGAGAGTCCAGACTAAGGGATTTTAGTCCGTTAAGAACAACAAAGCTTTTAATTGGTTTTCCTAATCCAAAACTTTCCCAATACTTGAGGCTATCAAATAGCTGGTTACCCCAGGATGTAAACTTCCTTCAGCACCCTCGAGACACTGCTCGCTGCCTCCCTCCTCCCTCAGGGACAGCTGGCTTGCTGACCTCTGAACTAGCTGGGTTCGCACTGCGTATCCAACTGAGACAAACCGATGCAACAGATCTGCAGAGGGGGTACAAATGGCTTGGTTCCTTTCACAGCAATGGAGTATACCTGTTAACAGTAGCCAAGAGCCTGCTCCAAGGAGGGGGGGGGGGGGAAAAAGGCGTGAAATGAACACTGCACCTCTCTAGCAGCATTTGATTCAGGAGACACTGCTATTTAGTTTATCTAGGTGATGTACCAAGGCCTGTTTCAGAAGAATGACATGGAAACTGTTCCCTCTATCAGAGCAAAATAAAAATAAATCAGTAGAAATACTTGCTGTGTCCCGATATTTCATCATACGCTAGATACATCTAAAACTACTCGCTTCTGCTGTTACAGCCCACAGGGAAGAGGCATCATTTGGTCTCTGCCCTGCAACTAGGCTCTCTGCTTCTTCTGGTTTACTCTCCATCTACTGGAGTGAGTTAATTGCACCATCCTCACAGCGATTGTACACGCTGGGGTGTTTTCTGTTGATTGAGCTATACCAGGCAGGAAGGACAGGGAAGTTTTAAAGAAAGAACACAAGAGTGTCCAGAGGAACTGGGAGAGAAGAGATTGAATCTCTTCCAGTAGGACAGCAGTAACTGTCTTCTCATCCAGATCAACTCTGCCTTCACTCCACCACCACAAATGCACATCTTTGTTCATTAAACGAAGTCTGTACTTTCAGTTCAACTTTTCTGACGTGCTAAACCTTGCAGAAATGTGAAGGATTGTGTCATCAAGTTTTTATTCAAGCATCTACAGATGTAACTCTGAAATGAAACCTATAAAATATTTTACAAACTGTGAAGATTTTTAAGTCCTCTCAGACACAGCAGAAGTACCCAATTCCTGAGAGAGGTTCACACACCTTCCACCCATTCGAACACTGTTTCCTTTTCCCAGGACTCCACTGTCAGCAGGGTCTCCCTGAAGGACATTTCCAAACAGACGCGAAGGGGAATCAGATCACTGACTGGCTTTTGGTTTTACATTGGTGTGGATTTTAAATTACAGAATGTCATTTCTGATGGAGGCACAACATGCTTAGTCTAATTGTATTAACTCATAAAGTACACAAAAGGAGGACAAAACTGAGGTCTTGAAGAAACCACGCTTGCTTAAAGCACACAGTGTAAGGCATGGGGCTTATTACAGGCTTTTTTTTTAAAAAAATGAGATTTAAGTTTCTTTCAAAAGGCTGGAACAGTTTGTACGTGTTCTCACCTGCTCTCTTCAGTGACCTAAAACTTATCAGTACCTTAACAGTAGAAAGATACAGTCAACAGCTTGAAATTGAGTCTGTGCATTCACAAAGAAAAACAAAAACAAAACCCACAAAAGATGCAGCCCTTAAATACCACAATCCGTATTAACTTAAACCAAAATGGACTACTGAAAGTTCCGTTGAAAAGAGAGTGAGCCAACTTTCATTAGCCTATTTCTACCTGTTCCTCTGATTTAAAAACAATCCCCCTAAAAACAGTAACAAAACTCCTTCGGAATAACGTTAAAACATACCACCAGGATCTTCCACTTAATGGC